CAGCACTCAAATACTGCTTGCAATGGGACAGCAACGGTTCCATAATCACTAGCTCGAATAGCTTCGAAACGGCACTTAACGATGTAATTCCTCGATAGTTATCCACAGCTCGTTTCCTTCCTTTTTGTGGACGGGAAACATGTGCGCAAATTTCCAGCAAGATGGACATTCGGAACAGGCGAAGAAGCGGAATTAACAAGCTAGCAATATGTCTCTTCAAAAATACAGATGGAACTCCATCAGGTCCAGGATTGAAGGATGACTTGAGCAGAGTCGTGGCCTTAGAAATCATTCCTGCATTAACATCAATTGCACCCAGAGTTTGATTATTTACTGGAACGTTCCTGGCAGCCAGGTTAATATGGTTGTCAGTTAGTATCTCATTAGTGAATACACTGGCAAACTTTTCGGAAAAAAAGGTGGCATATATCCTGAACGGTGGCAGCAACTTCTCCGTTGAATTCCATAGACGATGGGAGGCCGGATTCCCTGCGTTGCTCGTTCACGTAGTTCCAAAAGGATTTCGGGTGTAGCTTAAGTTTGCGCTGGATGTCTCGTTGGAAACTTGAAAAGCAATTACGACTGACTCGCTGGTACATGTGATTCAGCCTCACATAATGTAGTTTCAGAGGAAGCGTGCGATACTTCGTAAATCTTCTCAATGCTGCTCTATTGATTGACTTCAACCTACGTAGCTCTCTCGTCTGCCAGGAAGGGTGAGACACTTTGTGGTGAGTTCTTTTCGGGACGTGTCTGTCAATGACATATGCCAAGACATCTGAAAAGGTTTGCGCTGCAGCCTCAACGTCATCTGGATCAAGGATGTTCTCCCATTCCATGCTAGATAATACATCTATGATGCTACGGTGGTCAGCTTTACGGAAGTCATAAGAAACCGTAGCATTGAAATCACGCACGAGTTTGTCCTCAAAAGTGACAATTAGAGGAGGGTGATGTGGAACTAGCTTAGTTAGTGCACAAGGAGCCGGGGAAATTGGTGGAGCCCTGTCCTTGTGCTCACGAAGCAGAGGTCCAAACTACGATCATTTTCGTTAATGGTTAATTTGAGTTGCGCTGAAGTTGTCGAGAAGGCTAATAGCTCCTGCGTGAAATGTAGATCTATCAGGACCGGGGTACAGGAATCCGCTATGAGATGGACTCCACGAAACGCCTGGCAGATTGAAGTCACCAAAAATGAATATCTCATCAACTGGAGTGAAAACTGACCGACAGTGAGTATCGATGAGTTCATTGTCGCGGACTCGATCAGGTGGAATGTACAGAGTGCATAGAAATAGTGTGCGATCACCCAGATTGATGGCTGTCCAAATCTGCTCCACATAGTTCCATAAATCGTTCTCAATGGCCTTTGCCTCCAACCCGCCACGGACAGCTACAAGGACACCTCCACCAGTAGATTTACGGCTGTTGTTAGGATTCCAATCGCAACGAAAGACCTCGTAGTCAGGACCGAAGACTTAAAGCGTTCGATAATTGAGCCACGTTTCGCACAGGACAATTACAGCTAGGCGTTACTCTTCAACATTAGAATTCATTCCACCGGCGTTTTGGTAGAAGATCACGACGTCCTGCTTGCGACAAGGTTTCGAACGACTGCTCTCCCTGGAAATCACAGATACATCAGGCAATAACTGACTATTGTACCATACTTATTTCTGACAGACCAGGAAAAACTTTGATAAACACTTTATGGAAAATCGGAGGTCAACAACAGAAGGATTTTCGAAAGTTATAATTTATTTACGAAGCGTCAAATTTAAGTCACAGAGAACAGACGTTGAGGCTCGAACTAAATTTCTGTAAAAACTTTTGTAAAGATTCCTATTTGACTTAATCGCCACCAACGCCGACTTCCTCACTTAAAAATCATCTTTGACAACATGATCGCAATACTGATTGCTAGAAAGACCAGTCGGTTAGCAGTCATCCTAAATATTCAATCATCATCAACATTGATGTTAGTTACGACCAAATTTTTGATTGGTGAAAACTCCCCGCATAAACGCGAACCATAACCTGACCTTACCGAAAATGGTTAAAAATTAATTCCTGCTAAAATTTAATTGAAATGGTTGTGGAACTTAACATCAACGTTTGTGTGATAAAGTTTTAACCTTATGTAGAGGAAATGGCTCTAATGTTGGCCCATCGCTGAAAAATCTACTATTTATCAATTTTATCTAGGTGAACACGTCATTGGGACGGTACTAATGGATATTTTGGGTCGCTATTGAAAATTTAGTCGATTGCTAAAGGCCCAAATTAGGGGCATTTAGGCCGACATTACATTCATTTCCCCTATTATGGTTTTTTGGAAGTGGACAAATAATGGGTTGTTAAGAACCATTACCATTCCAAATTCTTGTTTTCTTCATACATTTTTGGAAGTAGAATTATACTAGAACCTTCTTATTTATGATTTGATAACTTTAATGGTAATGGTTATGGCAGTCAGTGTGAAAATCCGCCGATATTAACTATGGGCAAATCACCCACGGCGCAGCTAATTATTGTTCAACTTACCCGTGCAGCAGCTGAATCCAAAAATGACCTTCCACCAACTGACAGGAAATGTGTAAGAAAAGTCATGACCTACCTAGTTATTATCCATCTCATATCTTCCCTCTCCTTTGGTATAAAAGTTATAAACAGTATTTTTAAACAATATTAATGATAATGAATTATTGAATCTTGATCCATCGCTTCCTGTTACCTCAAACCCAGATCCCGCAGCAGCAGCATAGCCTTCACCTGGTGCTTGATGATCGGTATGCCATCCGCCGAGTGCAAATCTCTAAACACTGCAGCGCTTCCTCCGAGTGTAGAAAGTGCAAATCCAACACGTCTACATTGTTCAGCGTCAGCTTGTGCACCTCCATGATGGCATTCGAGGCCTTACTGCTGTACACCTCGGCCACCCCGGTCATGCCCCGCTGAATGGCATTCCGTGCCTTCTCGTGGCATTCGTTTTTCAGTTCCTGGAGGTCCTGGGACATTTTGCGGCATTCTTCGGCCGTTTTCAGGTGAAGATTGATGTCATCTTCGCTGGATGACGGTACCTGCCCGACCATTGGAGGCGGCGACGTTGAGGACGAAGGAAGTGGTTTTTTTTTTCGGCTTCTGCTCGCTTCATAAGGGCTTCCCGTTCGCGGGCGATTTGGTTTCTCAGCTCTTCCGGAATGGAATGTTGATTTCGCTTCGGTACGCCGTTAGGGCGTACTCCATTTCCATAATTTCGTTCAGGTTGGGGGAATCCTCGATGGTCTTTTTGAACAAAACGGGATAGTTTTCCTTCGCTTCCATTTGCTGTCTCAATCGAGCATCTTTTTTCATAAAATCTTGCTTTCCCCCTGCAGCTGTACATGGAATCCAAGAACAACACATACCACTGTTCTGCCATTTCGGTAGCCATGAAAACCTTTGTTCGTTCATTGGTTAGTTCGTCTAAGGAGATGGCTTATGAGATTAATTCCCAACGTCACTTCCAGCAGTTCGGGATCGTTTTGAAAATCTTACGCTTTGTCTTTTCTTTTCGTTGTGTTCCGGGGTGATTTCAACCTGACGGTAGACCGATCGATTTCGTAACCCCCTCCACCACCACCACTACCGGAGGGATCACCGGAAAGCACTTGCGATACCATTGTTCCATTGCAATCACATTCATACGCGAGTAGGTCGCCAACCGGACCGGCTTCCAAATTATGCGCTGTCTCGAATTCGTATGCCTTTTGCTCTTCTAGCAACAGATTTGCTGTCCAATCACCGTGCCCATTGCAGTTCTCGAACAAATCCTACAGATACTGGACCGGAATCTGGGGATAGAGGATGCAAATTTCCGAAAAGCTAGTGTTTTCATTTTTGCATCCTCGTCTGTGTCTGACCAGAGCAATCCGTTTCTTTTCCGATTTCTTCTTTTTGCTGGGCTTGACCGGCGTCACACCTGTGACAATTCGTCCTCACTCGTTTTCTCAGAACGGCCGTCCCGGTCGCGTTCTCTCCTGTGGCTTTGCCACGGCGAGTAGACGATTTTTGCAAATCCGTCCTCACTCGCATTCAGAACGGCCGTCCCGGTCGCGTTCTTATTTCCAATTTTCCTTGCATGTGGGTGATTTGCCCTTAATTACCTATCGGTGGTCTCCAAGATTCCAGGTTCGTCTCCTGACAGGATCGCCAGAAATGTGAAAATCCACCGATTTTAGCTATGGGCAGTCCATGAATGTTTTTGTAACATCGAGCAACTTTATGTGGAATATATCGCGAACTGGTTGCCTGTAAATTAATGATTGCCAATTCGCGATATATTCCACGTAAAGTTGACCGATGATATAAAATAATCCATGGACCTTACTGACTACCATAACCATTACTATTAAAGTTCTCAAGCCATAAGTCAAAAGGTTCTAATATAGTTCTCTTTCAGAAAATGTATGGAGAAAACAAGAATTTGGAATGGTAATGGTTCTTAGCAACCCATAGTTGTAAGGTTCACTTCCAAGAAAAAACATAAAAACATAAGGTTGAAACTTTATCATACAAACGTTCATGTAAAGTTCCATAACCATTTAGGTTAAAGTTTAGCAGGGATTATAAACAATTTTTAACCATTTTCGGTAAGGTCAGCTTAGGGTTCGCGTTTATGCGGGTCACCAAATGGGACACAGCCTCAGTATATTCGTAGACTGAGTAAAATATTCGTTGATTTTCCTCATATTCGAGAAGTTGTTCCTGGAAAATTTTAATCACTTTGTGCAAAATTTAGTCAGATTCAACTCAAGTTTGAGCTGATTTCATCGTCCGTGCAACCGACCGTACCGGTGAAAAAGAGATGACACAGAAGGCTCAAAACAAAAGACCAGTGACATCTGTCACCCTCGACACGCATACACATTTATATTCGTATTTTTCATCAAAATTTTGAACGATGACGACAAAACGAATGACATTGTCGATGTGCGCGATGCCGGATCAATGAAAACCAAAGGTTTTTTGTTTTGATTGTGATCCATTGGCAGTGCGGTGCAAGTGCAGCAAATAAATAATAATCATTGTGTATGGAGGAAAGAAGGGAATAAAAAAAACAAACCGGTGAGTGAAACTAAGTGCATCAATTTGTGTTCCAAATCAGCGGACATTGCATCATTGCCAGTTGAATGATGTAAATCGAACTGTTTTTGGAAGGAGACAAATTGCAAAATCCATCAAACGAAAAACATGGACTTCTTGCTACTCCTGGGCGTGGTGGTGGCCATTTACGGGGTGCTCTTGTTTTTCGACAATTTTTTCAAGGTAGGTTTATTTGAATTCTTCGAATGTCGTAAACTAATCGATTGTGATCTGCAGAGCTGCATGCACTACCCATACGAGGCATTCCTCAAGGGAACGGGCCTCTCGATAAAATTCCTTCGTCTGCAGTGGCATACAACGGCCCTAAATCGGTCCATTGTCAAATGGAGCACGGCTTATCCGAAACTCCTGGATCTCAATTTTAGCTTGGGAGTGTATCTGTCGGTTTTACTGATGCCGCTAGCATCGCTGTTGATCGTCGTCTCTGCTTTCCATACCAGGAGTTCCGGAAAGGTCGGCTCGGATGGAGCTGCTGCCGGATCCAGTGCGGCCAAGAATACCGTTTCGTTCGATTTGCTCATTCCGGGAGTCAATTTGCCGCTGAACGAAATCGGATACTACATCGCGGCGCTGGGCATTAACAGCGTCGTGCACGAGCTTGGCCATGGGTTGGCTGCCGTTTTGGAGGATGTTCCGATCAAGGGCTTCGGCTTTCACGTGATGCTGATCATTCCAATGGCTTACACGCAGCTCGATTCGGACCAGCTGAATGCGCTGAAAACGTGGAAGCGACTGAAGGTGCTCTGCGCCGGCATATGGCACAATCTACTGCTGGGGGCTTTTACGTATTTGCTGTTTGTGACCACTCCGGTGATGTTGTCGGCGATTTACCGGGTGAACGAATCGGTGATGGTGACGGACATTAAGAATAACTCGCCGCTTCTGGGTGCACGGGGACTGGAGGAAGGTAAGTGATTGCCAATTGGTATCAGTTAATTTTGATTTTGCACTTTAGTTTAGTTTTCGAAGTATAAGGTAGAGCTTTCTTTCGGACACTAGGGGCTGTCCATATAACACGTGGACAGTTTTTAAAAAGGTTTTAGAGCCCAAACCCCCCCCCCCTCCCCCTACGCGGACAATCATCCATATATGCGTGTCAAGGCAATAGAGCCACCGTAAATTGTTTCGTCATTGAAAACATTGTATCTCTGATGAAGTATTGGAAATGGGTTGTTAGCGTAATGCTGAAATTAAACAACAAAAAAGGTTAGCTTTCATATAATTCCACTTAATTAATGTTGGTATCCATGACAGATACGTATTTAGACTACAATGTGCAGTCTTCATCAGTGTCATTCCCACACTGTTGAAAACTGCACATCGTAGTCGAAATACGTAGGGGAAAGTGGTGTAATATGGTCAATGGGGCAATGTGGCCACCCGCTTAAAAACCAACTTATTGAACAGATTTTACAACAAATCTGTTGCAGGCTTAATGTTTAAAGCCTACTTCAACTATTCATTTAATTTAAGTCTAATAAAATATTTTTCTCTAGAGCAAATATTCGAAAAATGTTAGACTAGCTCAACATGTCAGAACTGTTATAAGATTTCTGAATCAAAAAATAAGTTCTACCAGTAGTTTCTTATAACTTATCGTTGATATTCCTTCAGCAGCTTTATAAATGGTCATTGGTTTCTTAACATTCAATTTCGGGCGGCTGTCGGATTCAACTCGCCTACGTCTAAGTGATTCGCAATTCGGTAGAGCTTGCCAAAAGTTTTTTTGAGCTTATGTAGTATAGAATTTGTTCGGTACGATCGCGAAATCTTGAAATGATTGATACGTCCGTTAAATTAACTAATTTGATACAAAGCTCAGTAGTAAATAAGTAGAATATCTAGGTAGGAAACCAAAATTAATCAACTTGCCAACATAGGCTACCACATTTATTTTGGTGACACTCTTTAATTTTTTTCTCGCTTTGATTGTTTCGCACGGCGTTCGGAATTCGCGCGATTTTCGTAACTTACATAATTTAGATATTTATTAAGCTCGCTGACCGCACTTTGTTTTTTGTGTAGTTTACTTCCCTCCGGATCGAACTCGTGACTCTACGCTAATTGAATCCCACAGTCAGTCTATTCGAACTATAATGGAGATTGCTACAGCTGCTGACGAGATGGTAATCATTGGCGACTTCAATCTACCGGCAATTTCTTGGCGATCATCTTACGGTGGATTCCTCTATCCGGACCACGACCGTTCTACATTTCACACTGGAGCTGTAAGCCTTTTGGATCATTACAGTATCGCCACACTATAGCAAGTCAACCACGTTGTTAATGAGAACCATCGTAGCTTAGACATTTGCTTCGTCACCGCTCAGGATACTGCTCCGCATTTGTCTATGGCTGTTTCTCCGTTGATAAAGACTGTTCCACGCCATCCTCCTTTAGTTATTGCACTTGAAGGGAGCCAAATTACTGAAGTCATTCCACCCCTAGAGGTTTCCTACGATTTCCGAAATGCTGACCACGACAGAATCGGGGAACTTCTTTCGAATTTTGACTGGCACAGGATATTCGTCCCTGCCGATGTCAATGCAGCTGCCCAAACGCTCTCGCACATTTTGGCTTACATCATTGAGCGACACGCTCCGAAAAAAGTTCCTAAACAAGGTAATCATCATCCTTGGCAAACAAGTGAACTTCGTATGTTAAAGTCTTCCAAAAGAGCCGCGCTAAGAAAATACACCAAGTACCACACCCTACAACTCAAATACCATTATGCGAGGATCAATCATGTGTATCAACGAACCAGTCGCCAATGTTATCGGCGTTATCAACGAGATGTTCAACGGAAGCTTCGATCTCATCCGAAAACTTTTTGTAATTATGTGAATGAGCAACGAAAGGAGTCTGGCCTTCCATCGACTATGGTACTGAACCAACAATCAATACGATTTTAAATTGGCTCACTACTTGACTAGCCTATTGGTCCCAAGCAAACGATTAACGTACCCAATTCTAGTCGAAATTCTAGTACTACGCAATGTTTGTTTTGATTCGCTTTTGACATATAAAATGAGGGGTTATTGGTTTTTCCTATGTTTCGAGGGGTGAATCGATTAGCTTGGGACCGAAGAGAGTACCAGAGCTGAGCCAAAAAGTTGAGCACGTTATTTCGGGACCTCTATGACTGAACGGCGAAAAAGCATCATCCCCTCAGGACATTTGCCGTCTGTTCTCAACCAAGTTTGCGAGTGTATTCTCGCATGAGAATCTACCTGACGAGCACGTTTCTCTAGCAGCCAGTTATGTTCCAATGTCTGGTCAATCTTTAGCAGCTATCAAGATCGACCTCGCTATGATAACGAGGGCGGCTTCGCAACTGATGTCTTCATTTAAGCCTGGACCTGACGGAGTTTCTTCCGTCTTTCTCAAGCAACACATCGATAGCCTGGTGGCTCCGCTCTGCCTTCTGTTCGAAATGTCCCTCTCCAGTGGGGTGTTTCCTTCCTGCTGGAAATCAGCTGAGATGTTTCCAGTGCATAAGAAGGGATGCAAAAGAAACATCGACAACTATCGCGGCATCACCTTGTTGTGTGCCATATCTAAACTGTTTGAGTTGGTCGTTATGGAACCATTAGTCTCTCACAGTTTTTAAGAAGTTTTATTTTATAATTCCATGCAATAAACATCAAATATATCCAATAATTGGCCAGAAATCAGCAAAGTTCTACATGACATAAATTTCCGCTGGTCTTGTCTGCTTCATTGTGCGCAAATTTTCTGTCGCCTGCAGAAAACAGTTTAGAAATTTACATAGTTGAAGATGCTAATTTCGAATAAAAGACTGAAGTGGTAATTTTTATACGATAGATGAGGAGGAGATGAAAGAATAGAATTGATAGTTCCGTTTAGATTACGGCAGTGTGAAAATTGCATATAGAGAGTAGATAGCGAGCTAGGACAACTTTTAAGGAAGGTACAAATCGGTTTCATCATCTCTCTTTACCAAACTCCCCCTTTGGAGAGGGATGGTGAAGGGAAGGGAAAGATGTACGTTCACACAGTAGACTGAGTCAAGGACATCAATGAAGATTATTCGTTTGAGAACGCTCTGTACGTGGCTCAAATTCAAGATCCTGTCGTATGCAAATTGCAAGCATCAACAGCAAATGGAGACTTAAAAGGATACGAAGTTCGAGATAACATGTTGTTCATAGATAAATAGAAACGATAAAGTTATGGAATTGCTCAAGCGAGCATTCTGGTTTCCAAATATGTTAGAAAAATAGCTGCCCACTGTAAAAAGTGTATATCATGTATCCTGTTTAATTCAAAGGCAAGGAAAAATGATGTTGAGCTTCAAAACATCGCCAAAGGAAACCGACCATTTTGGACTTTGCATGCAGATCATCTGTGTCCGCTAGAGACAACGAAAGGGAAGAACAAGTATATTTTGGCGGTAGTAGGTAGATGGATTCACAAAGTTCGTGAAGCTGTTCCCAACAAATACAACCAACTCAAAAGAAGTAATGAAAAATCTGAAATCATATTTCATCAACTACAGTACTCCAAGAATCCTTATCGCTGACCGTGGATTTTGTTTTACATCGCAACCGTTCAAGCAATTTGCGGATTCCCATGGTTTTCCGCATACTCTTGTAGCAACAGCATGTCGTCAGGCAAATGGGCCAAGTCGAGAGGTACAATCGTACACTGCTTCCAGTATTGGCTAAACTTGCTGAGTCCTGAGACAGTCTGGTCTATACAAGGTGTGGAGAGCTAGTCCTCACGTATGTATTGGTAGAAGGAAAAAGGTAAACATTGCGGGAGAGGATGACCACGACGTCATAGCACTCGAGAGCAAATTTGGGAAATATGAAGTACAGCAAATTCTAGATATGTTTGCATGATGATTGCGCTTGCTTGTATGCTTTTGTAAAGTATTCGGGAAATATCAGCAAGCGTTTTTTTTATATTTTTATAGAAACTCCTTACTTGGAAACGGGCAAAAACTCACCAGCAGGCTTCTTTTTTATGGTATAAAGTTCTGTCCAGCCAGAATCCGGAATCACTTATTGTGTTGCAGCGGCACGGAAGGAGCGAACGTTTCAGGGAGCGAAAGAGCGTGGATCGAGTGCCTCAAGATAAGCGTCGTATTGGAACATATAACCGCAAGCTGAACCAGAAGGTGTTGAGAACCGTCAGAGTAAACCCTGGACTATCCGATAATGAAACCGCTCAAAAATACGCTGCTGCTCGCAGTACCGTTCGAAGAATTCCTTTGCGAGCAGGATGTCGTTCTTATCGAGCCAGCAAGCAACCAAACAGAATGTTGAAGCAAAGTTTCGTCACCAACACTCGAGCTCGGAAATTTTACCAGCAGGTTGTGACGAAGTACCAAGGATGCCTGCTCATCGACGATGAAACCTACGTCAAAATGGGTTTCGGACAGCTTTCTGGCCAAAAATTATACATGGCGACGGCACGAGGAGATGTTCCTGCGAAGTTTAAGTTTGCTGTTAACTGTTAACTGATGATTTGGCAAGGGATATGCAGCTGCGGAGCAAAGACCAAAGTGTTCGTGACGAATAAGATGATGGACTCGAAGCTGTACAAGGAAGAATGCCTCAAAAACCGCATACTACCTTTCATTAAAGCCCATAAAGGTCCCGTGAAGTTTTGGCCAGATTTGGCGAGTTGCCACTACAGCCGGGAAGTCATCCAGTGGTACCGCGATAATAACGTAGATTTAATCGATAAAAACATAAATCCACCCAACTGCCCGCAGTTCCGGCCCAATAATGGGCAATAATGAAGCGGAAGCTTAAGAAAAGTGGAAAAACGGCTCGGGACGCGATTCAGATGACCAAAATGTGGAACAAATGTGCCAAGGAAGTTGACTCCGGAGGTGTGCAGCGTTTGATGGGAGGAATAAAGAAGAAAGTTCCATTT